TAACCAATACACTTGATTAGTAAGGATATTTTAAGAAAAACAACACCTATTTATTATAAATAACTAACTTAACTAATTTTGTTAATTTACTTAAATTAGTCAATTGACTCTTATATTAATGATCAGATGTAATATTAATTCATACTCTATTTTCTTTGTCTCTATTAAATACGTGAAAAAAATATTTAAGTGACTGACACCATCAAAACGTCATAAACAAATAATTAAGAATAGATTTAAAAGACTTTTTATAAAATTGAAGGGGGGAGTAGTGATCAAATTTTTTTATCCTTTTCCAAAAGCATATAGAAGGGTTTTTAGAACAAAAATTACTACTTCTGACCATAATTATAAAAACTAGTTGACTAATTTGAGGATATTAAAGAAAGAAGTTAAGTTAGTTATTGTAATAAATAGGTATTGTATTTTTCAAAATATTCTTGCTAATCAAATGTATTTGCTAGAATTACCATTGTTAGAAGGATTACATTGGGAAAAAATACATAAATATGAGAAACAAAATGGATTAGGATCTTATATTTAGGATCAAAATAAAAGTCAAATAAGATTTTATATTAAAGACCGGAGGTAGTATGTCAAGGTATTTATTGCTTATATTCATTAACCTAAATTTACAGCTAAATTTACAAGGATGTCTACGTTTTTTAATTTAACATCTAATAATTCAGCCATAGCAAAATAATAAATATTCAAATTTTATAGGTAAACATACAAGTGTGCATGAATATTTTAACAACTAATAATAGCAAGATGAAAAAATAGGATTAGTACAATTTTTATTTCTTCAAGTTTGCTCTTATTTTAGTTCTAACTCTTCAAGTTTCTTTTCGTCTAAAACATTAATCCTTATAATTTAATGAAAATCTGTACTGCTTTGTCCATTAGGAACCAAAATCAATAGTTTAAAATTTAAGAGACTAAAATTAAAATTCGTGTAAACTTGAGGGACCAAAGTTTATATTAATCCTAAAAAATATCCATATAAAAATTTATAAATCCTAATTTGCACAATGTATAAAAACTGATGAAAAAATTACAAATGTTCGTAGATGAATTTACCAGTGCATGTCCACATTTTAATAACTAATAATAACAAAATAATAAATGTGATTAGAAAATATAACTAAAAGATATAAAAAAAATCTGATTTGAGTTTTATTCTTTTATAATACTCTTCGGGGCGGGTGTGTGTGCTCTCCCCTATGAAGTGAGGGGTTCAATTGTCCAATTGTTTTTTAAAAAATAGACAAGAAATGAATTTAAGGATAAAAGTATACCAGATATGAGTTTAAAACCCTGAGTGCATCTAATAATATAGTTTAAAGTATTTGATGCATCTCTACTTTAATAATAATGCATACTAATATTGTAGAGATCAGTCTACGTGCTATACTGATTAGGAATTCATCTTTATTTTTTTCTTTTAATTTCCAAACGACATCAAATGATGTTTAATAATTAGATAAATAATTAACCTAACTAGTTTTTAAATTTATATGAATTAACTACATATTTCTTGTCATTAGGACGACATGTGAGAGTTGGATATATTGATTGCATGTTTTTTTTTTTAAGGATAGAGGTGTATACAGCGCATTGATCTTATTTTCGTAGGGCATTCAGTTTTTTTTTTTAATTACATTAAGCACTCTAATTTTTAAGGTGTTTGATGTAGTGCCTGTTTGGTAAAGCGGTGAGGGCTCAAATCAACTTGTTTAAATCTAAATAAGTGATTATGAAGCATGTTTATCATATTCGGGTAGTTTTTATAAAATCTTGATAAATCGTGATTTTATTCTTCTACGGCACTTTTAAATATAAGCACCAAAGAGTGATTTATGCATTTCAAAAATTCTGATCAATTTTTATCAACTGAATTTTCTCTAATTTATACGTCCATACTCTTCCAAAAATCTATCTCAAAATGATTATATTTAATAATATTTATTAAATTCATGTCTTTTTGGTCATTATACATCTATAAGTAATTTTAATAAATGAAAATCAAACATAATCATAATTCTTAAAGACACTTGTAAAAGAAATATATCCAAATAGAAATCATGGTTAAGCAACATCATTTATAGTTAATGTCACTTATAAAATTTCTGATGATCTAAAATCACAATTAGATATAACATATAGAAGATGTGAAGATTGGTTTAATAGTTAAAGACCCCATTAGATCTTTTTAGATTTCAAGTTCAAATTTTAAAGTACATATCTTTATAAAGAGGAGAAGTCACGAACCTCAAACCAGAGTAGCCGGATGATAATATTAAAGAAAATGTGAACAGCCTCAGCCACCTTATGGGAAGCAAGTTTTTTTTTTTGGGGGGGGTACAATTATGAGAAACAAGTTGATCATAATTATAGATCAAATTAAATATGGGATCAAATTGTGAAAATCACTTAAATCATACAACATTTGTTTTCTACGCAAAAAGTTGACATGTATGAATACAATTCTCACCTTACAAAACAACTCCTCCTCGTTCTAAATTCAAAGTTTTTCATTAATTTGTACGGGTCAAGAAAAACAAGTCAGGTGATGGTTATTACCACTTATTTGTTATAAGATGTCAATTTTTGCTGCCCATTTTCAAAAATATACATGCCATTTAATGATCAAAACTCAACGTGTCGCGGAAAATTCCCTACTACTACTATACAGGGCATTATGAGAAAAAATCCATTATTAAAAAAAAAGAGGGAAAAAAGAGATTTTATATTTAAAATCAAACCAAAATTCTTAAATTAACTTATATTAGGATAAGGGAGTATTATTTGCTATAAATTCTATCTGTTATTATATCAACTAATATTCAAGTAATTTGGTATGAGTATTTATTTTTATTTTTATTAAGCATGCTAGGTGAGGGTCTTGGCAATACGACTTCCACTGTTGTATTGGTATTCAATAATTGTTTAGGGCATACTCTTTTGTCCTTTAAAATAAATCCAAGAAATAAAAAAAAAATCCAAGAAATAGTTTGTTAAATAAATAAAATAAAATAAAATATCATATATCATTCATGGGAAAGCCTCCCATTAATACACATGTCACGGTAATAAGCCGCTGCAGATTTCAGAAAATAAACAAATATTGCTCAGACAAGCAAAGTGGGTCCATTTTATTCATCAAAAATCAAAATAAAAAAGTACTAATAAAAAATTATGCACACTGAATGCACGCACACATAACACGGGGGAGGAAGATAATTATTAATTTGTCTCAACAACAAATAACAAATGAGCAGCTCAAATCTATCGTGATTTTTATTCTAAAATTTATCATTATAAATTACTTAGTTGTTGTTAAACTTTTTGGTAAACATGTTTTTTTTTCTTTAGAACCTTATCGCAATTCTGTTTTTAATATGTATTATTCCTTCAGTTTTAAATATAATATCCTTATACTAGTATGTAATAAAGGTCTTATATTTAGAATCGGAAGAGTACTATTTTTAACTTTTAATATCAGGGTTAGTTAACTAATTTAAGTTGATAAAAAATTAATTAAATTAGTTATTTGTAATAAATAGACAATGTCTCGCTTAAAATACTTTTACTGATAATGTATAGTAGTTAGAAATATTATTTGATAAAATATTTAATACGTGTAACGATTACCCTTAAGAAAAATAAATAAATACAAAGGATAAAATGAATTAGAATTTTATATTTAAGACTAAACTAAAAATTCAAATAGTTTTTATAAGGTTTAATGCATATAAATCAAGTCTCAACCCTTAAATATAATTAATTGTATCTACGGAATACCTCTAATTCTTAATATAATATTTAGCTTGTAGTTGAATTTGATCTATAAACTAGATCTTATATTAATAACTGTAGGTAGTAATGTTTTTTATAACAATCATTATTGTTTTAAAAATTAAAATTAATATATTATTATTTGAGAACATTTAACCAATATTTAATATTTTAATGTCATCATTTTTTAATAATTTTAAAGTTCAATGATTAAAAAAATATATTTTTTAAAATTAAGCAATGGAAGACATTATATAAGATCATTGAAAAAAATCTAACACACGCTGACAGGTCAATTGCTGTACAGTCTCATGGCATGAAATTTTCCCCTATTTAATTTCAAGTAAAAAAGACGTAAGTTCAGCTTGGAATAATCTCGCTACTAATATCTGCTTTCTAATTAAAAAAATAATATACTCATACACGTTGGCAAAAACAAAACTCATAATAATTGACACTTCATACTCTTACACTAACCCAAGTTTAATTTGGCAAACAAATATATATTTGATCTTTTACTTTTAGATAAATTTTTATTTTAATGTCTTAATTTTATAAAGGATGTTTTTAGTTTTCTAATTCAAATATAATATTATTGACAAAAAAAGTACTACTAGCATTAAAATTTTAAATCTCTACAAAATATTCGCAAATATTTTCATATTAAATTTAATATTTATAATAACTATGACTGATGAAAAAGATTATTTGAGATTTAAATCTTGTATTCCGAGGTTAACTGCAAATGGCGAGGCATTCATATAATTATAAATATGAGTATTTTACAAATTCAAAGGCAATTACATGAAATTAATTTGAAAATTACGAGTTATTCCCCTGTATAAATTTTGTTAAACAAAATTATATATTCATCAAAAAGTTGTTGAAACAGGATGGGCCAATAAAAAAAAAGGGTCGTTGAAACGGGAGAGTGAGGAGATGACGAAAAAAAGAAAACAAAAAGAAAAGGCGGTAAGAAGCAGAAGGAGCGTGTGGCGGGGAGAAGCTGAAAATTGACGAAGGGCGGCGAAATTAAACCCGACGCCGAAGCACATCCGATTCGCCGGCTGGAGTAAAATGTCCGAACTGATGGGCCCCTCTGCATTCAATGCCGTCGTTGATTCATCACCTGCCTCGCCACCCAATCCTTCTCTCTCTTCTCGATCTGTCTCTGCCTCTAAGCCTAGCCTTCTCCATTGTGAAGAGGTTTTATTGCTCTTCTGAACTCTGTCTTTGCAACGTCCCATCCATTTCACTATTACTCATATCTGGCCACCTATTAATATCTTCATTCTGAGTTTTCTTCTGATCCCACCTAAATTCTATGCCTCTTCCTCTCTCCTCCCTCCTTCTGGCCTTCGCGAATTTCTCCTTGTCCTCATTCCTCAACCACTCAACATGATGGTGCAAGAGGAAGTCATGACTGATGTCACTGTTCCTCCTCGAACCGTGCTTTTGATATCCGCCGGTGCTAGCCATTCCGTTGCCCTACTCTGTAAGCGCCGACTTCTTACTTCTTTCTCCTTTTTAAACTAAGAATTTTATTGTACCTCCATGTGGGGGGGATCGTTTTGGAAGTTTATGAAAGCTGAAATCATTTTGACTGTTTGACATGACCCCAAAATTATGTTTTGGCGCATTGGCATTGACTCCAACTTCTGGATAGTGGCTTAACGAGGCGTTCATTGTTGCCTCTCCTGGGAATACCTTACTGTTTGGATAAGATAACCCACTTGATTTACCCACATCTCTGTTTTATAACCAATCAATTGCGGTAGATCAATTGTAGACAAGATTTCAAGTTTATGCTTTGATTTCTCCTTGAGCAGCAGCAAGAGCCGAGAACTGCATTTGTTCTCAAAATTCAAAAAAATACGCTGTGAATATATCAGCTACAAAATAAACATCTGCTAGCTTCGTCATTCTTCCCTTTCTATTTTCATGACATCCTTGCTGTAAATGATTTGTAATTTTCTTCACTTGGGTCTTTGTTAAACTGACGGCTTGCTCATTGTCGATCCTTCACAGCTGGAAATGTTGTTTGCTCATGGGGACGGGGAGAGGATGGGCAATTGGGCCATGGTGATGCTGAGGATCGGCTTTTCCCTACACAACTGAGTTCATTGGATGGCCAAGAGATAGTATCTGTTACTTGCGGAGCTGACCATACGATTGCGTATTCAGAGTCCCGCACGGAAGTGTTTAGCTGGGGATGGTCTGCTCTCTATCTTTTAATTAGTTTTCTAAAACGTTGACCTTCTTAAAACAGAAAACTGACGTTCCCTAGAAATGCAATTTTTTTTACCCTTGGCTAGCGTGTGTTGTCATCAATTGTACTAAAAATGGAATCAAAACTAGTTTGACCGTGCAATGATTTATCAACTGCTGCAGCCCTATTGTGATACTTGCACTTTAATCAATCGTCAATAGTATGTATAGAATTGTCAGTAATATCTATCTAAAAATGAATATCACAAAGTTCATATTTTGGAAGAGAAGGATAGCATCCGAATTCCTAAAATGAAACATAGCTAGGAGATTTCTCAACACAAGGGCTGAAAAATGATATTGTTGGTTAACTGACTGATGGAGAAAGTTGCCATGCTTTAGGGCTCTCTGACCACTATGTACGAGGTGATTCCTGCATATGATAGGCAAAAGTCGAGTTTGATTTGTGTGGCACTGAAAAGTTGGACACATGCTGTCATATTGTATGAAAAGTCATAATATCAAGTGTTTGGGGGTTTCTTTTATCACTTGCAACTACTGAAAAACATTGGATCTCATCAAGAGGACTTCTTTCTTCTGTGGTTTATCTGTCAATTGGGTGACATCAGCACTGTTTGGTTTATATGAACAGTTGTAAGCAGCTTCTGCTTTTTCTAATTTTTCAGGGGTGACTTTGGAAGGTTGGGTCACGGTAATTCTAGTGACTTGTTCACTCCTCTTCCAATTAAAGCGTTGCAGGGTCTAAGGATAAAGCAAATTGCTTGTGGCGACAGCCATTGTTTGGCAGTTACCATGGAAGGCGAGGTGCAGAGGTGAGCAGTTCTTGCTTAAAATTTGGTCATTATTCATTTTTTGGTTCTAACCTCTTTACCAGTTTCAAGTTGTTTTTATTTGGTCAATAAAGTTTGAGTTGCATAATTAAGTGTATTGATTGAAACTGAAAATTACATCTCTGTGAGTTGCTTTGCAACATGAGCTGAATCTTATGATTCATGTTTTAAATTTCATCATCTCGTGTTTTTCTCCTCATCTGAATGGAAATTTTGACTAAAAACTGTGGAGGAAGAATCAAAGTTCTTCCGGTTCAGCTTATATTGGTGTCTATGCCCATCTCCAGCAACTCCTGTATTTTATTATTCTGTCCTTGTCTTCTGTCTCTTAGGAGAATTTTTTAAGGAACTATTTATGATTAGAACCTGTGAAGCAATACGCTTTATGGAACATTTGTCTTCTTTACCTCCATAGATAGAATTCCTTCTCCATTTTTTCTTGAATTTGATTTGAGAGCATATCAACCAAACTTTTGATTATTAAAGACAAATGTTTTCATCTATTGCTACAATTGTCGTCATATTTTACAATAATTCGCCTATTTGGAGGTTCTTGACTTTACTCTCCTTGTTGAAGTTGGGGGCGAAATCAGAATGGTCAACTTGGACTTGGCACCGCAGAAGACTCTCTTGTGCCACAAAAAATTCAAACATTTCAGGTACTGCTTTCAGTGTTATATGCGTAGAGTGCGTGTAATAAAACATTCAGTCGGTGAGCATCAATATACAATGTGAAGATGCATGCACTAAAGCCTTAATACACTAAGGATCTGTTTGGATTGGCGGTGAAAAAAGCAGTTATTTCTAATATGACTTTTAGAAAAGTAAGATCAGGTAAAAGTTAAATTGAATAAGGTGAATTGTGTTTGGATTGGAGTTTAAAAAAGTTAGTTTGTAAAAGTGAGATTGGTAAAAGGTTGTTTGGATTATGATTGAGTAAAAGTAAGTTTGTTTGAGTAAAAGAAATGGGACCCACATTTTGTCTTTCTCTCTCCACTTTTCCAACTCTCTAAGCTATAATTTTTAGCTTTTGGCTTAAGTATGTGATTTTGGCATAAGCTCTTAATTTTTTAAGTTCTTCCAAACACACTCAAACACATTAAAAGCCAAAAGCCACTTAAACGTGGCTCCGAACAGGCACTAAATTGCTCACGTCCACCTCTTTCCAAGTCAACATAAAAGATTACCTCTTTATTTTGATTAATGTTTATGCCTTTCAAGAGCTTAATCAGTGATGAACTGTTTTTAATGACTGTTTATTTTTAGCATGGAGTGGTTTCAATGGTTTAATAGTCACAGTTAACCATTTTTAACCATATTTTTTACCCTACCAGAACATATTGAATGGTTTCTTAGACGTGAATAATAATGTTCTAGGCAGTTGGCATGCCTCGTGCTGCATAGTGAGAAAATTAGTACCTGATTTGTACTGTTAATGATAAAGGTGCAATATAGAATTATAGAGGTGGAAGTTATTCAGCCTGTAAACAATATGACCATTTAGTAGATGGTGTTTTGTTGTGTTGTCTCACACCTGAGCTTATAAAACGTAAACAAGTGGCTCTTATCTGTATTGACTCAGATATGAGTTTGCTATCCTCAGAAAAACAATATCCAGAAAAGGGATTGCAAGGTGAAATAGGTTTGTTAATATCATTTTATTCTTGCGTTTATTTGGTAGTAAGCAGAAGTATGCATTCAACAACTTATTGCAGGCAACAGCAGTTTTGATGTCAGCATCTTCTCCATCCTTCAAGCCGGCTTTTTTTCTTTCTCTATTGAGTAGAAACCACTGGATTGAATTTTTCACTAAAAAATCGTGGAGTTGAATCATTGGGATTATGTCTAACTTGTCAACTACCCTCCAGCAAAAGCATTAGTGGATGTTGCACATTTTGTAAGCAGTGCTGATAACGAGGAAAACAACAACAATAATAAAACTTTTGTTGAGCGAAAATTTTTGAAAGATCTTAATATCTGCACCTTCTATCTCATTTCTCAGCAGAAAATTGTGGATATTTATACACACAAGTGTGAAATTTTTCATTGTTGTAGGGAGTACCTATCAAAATGGTTGCTGCTGGTGCGGAACATAGTGTAGCGGTCACTGAACATGGGGAACTATTTGGATGGGGTTGGGGACGATATGGAAACTTGGGATTGGGAGACAGATTTGATCGTTTGTTGCCTGAAAAAGTTTCTTCTGTTCATGTATGTCCTCACATCATCTCATCCTTCCAGATTAGACTATGATGATTGTGGCCATATTTTGAATGATACATGATTTTATCCAGTGCTTGATTCCTGATAACGTTTTACTCGCAATGTGAAACAGAAGATGACGTATTTCAAGGCTTCTTAACAGTGTTTTGTAGGTTGACTTGAAAAGTATTTAGCATGCCTCCATACTAGTAGATGGAAAATATTGCTCTATACAGTACTTATTTTTGTCCCTAATTGCCCATTGCTTGTCTTTCTGTTTGAAAGTTGCAGGGTGACAAGATGGTCATCGTTGCTTGTGGTTGGCGGCACACAATATCTGTTTCTTCTTCTGGAGGACTGTACACATATGGGTGGAGTAAATATGGCCAACTAGGACACGGTGATTTTGAGGACCACCTCGTGCCCCACAAGCTTCAGGCCTTGAGCGATAAATTTATTTCTCAGGTTGCCCCTAGACCATGTTCCCACGTATTATCCTTTTTGGGATTTTCTTACTTCATGGAAATTTAAGTGGTTCGAAAGATCTGAGTTCTCTATCATCAAAAAAAGAAAAAAAAAGCCATCTAAGTTCTCCTCACTCCTCTTTAGTTGGTCCTCTGTTCCCTGAGTCCCAATTAGAAGCCGGATTTGTTTGGAATGGAGTACACTGCGGCTAAGTCTCATCTAGTAAATAACAGCTTCATTGTGTGGTGTCACACTAATTCAGATTATATTCCTCTATTCTTTTAAAAGAGAAATTGATCAAACAGAATCTTCTGCAATTGTAGGAGCAATATTTTTGGTGTTTGGCATTTTGATTATAGTTGGTTGCCTGTTATGAAATTTTTTCCCAAATTCTTTCAGATATCAGGTGGTTGGAGGCACAGTATGGCGATAACATCTGGTGGACAACTTTATGGCTGGGGTTGGAATAAGGTTGGTGACAACATTTTATTCTTCTCCTATTTTGCTATATTTTGTATTATACTTGTTGCTTTAATAATAATTGGCAACTTATCAGGGCAGAGATGGCATAATATAAACGATACTCCTTTCCTAAGAAAGTAGTTCCAAGTGTTGTATTCCCTCGTACACTATGACACATATTTCATTTGTCGATGTTTTTGACTTTTTGCATTTCTCTAAATGCAGTTTGGACAGGTGGGAGTGGGTGACAATGTTGATCATTGCTCTCCTGTACCAGTGGAATTTCCCCCTGACCAGGTACTTTCTTGAGACTGCAACGCCCTGCCTCCCTGCCCTACGCCAAAGTAATAAAAAATGGGTGTAAAAAACCTTGATGCATATATTTTTTTTTTCTCTTTTTATTTTTGTTTGTCTTGGCAGAAAGTAGTTCAGATCTCATGCGGATGGAGACACACTGTTGCTGTTACTGATAGACGAAATGTATATTCTTGGGGAAGAGGCACAAATGGACAACTTGGACATGGCGAAACTGTTGACCGGTAATTGCGTGTGTACCTGAATAATTTTGTTGAGACCATCGAATTGTCTATAGTAGGCAATTTGCAAGCTCCTCTTGCTTCGGTTTTAAAAGGAACTGTTTGAAGCAATTGATTTATGATGGTGTAATTAATTGGTTCACAAAGTTCCTTTATCCTGTGCACACTTGAATGATTAGATTTTTCAAATCAATTAGGAAGAGGCTCCTTGATGTTCACTGATGCCCTTAATCTGTTGAGACTTATAAAGGGTCATGAAATCCTTGATGATCGACGTTGACCTTGTGTAGCTACCATCTTGGCGTTTCCTACTTAATGAAATCCTTGCTTTTAGTTAACATGGTTGGATATTTTGATGCAGTGAAATAATGATTCTTTGTACGTTTAGCCCTATAAGCATTGGAGATTATATTGCATCTCGTCATTAATCCTGAGTTATGAATGTCATCTTCGGAATTTGCAGGAATGTACCTAAAATTATTGAGCTCTTGAGTGTTGATGGGTCTTGTGGGCAACTTATAGAATCATCCTCAAAGGCTGACCCGTTATCTGGTGCGTTGTTCATTGCGTCACTTTTTACAATAATTAATTTTGACCTTTGTCATCTTACTGTTTTTCAAATCAATCTGCATTATGGTGGGCTGTACAGGGAGAACTTGGGTCTCACCATCAGAGAGATATGCAGTTGTTCCGGATGAAACTGTGAGTTTCTTGTGTTGGTATTCAAATATACTGTAGTTCAGGGCAAGCTAGAATATATTTAGATTTTTCGCTTAGTTCAGGAAAATGTGAGCCTTAAAATGACTTTTTGTATCACGAGAAGATCAGAAAGCAGATAAAATTGCTGCTGACTTTTATGATTTGGTAGGTTTCTGGACAAACTGGTGGTTCAGGGAGGAGCGATGGGCTTGATGCAAGCGTCCCTGAAACTGACGCCAAACGGGTTCGACATTGAGTGCTAAATTTTCAACAGATGAGGAGAATGTATTGTGCAGCTCTACTTCCCACACCACTCCATGAGAATCATCATATGCCACTAAGTACTAGATATTTAGCTTTGATGATGAACCATGATGGTTGTAAATTGAAGCCATGCTTTAATGAATGTTGCGTTTGGTCTTCTTCTTCTGTGTCTAGTTATTAGGGAATACTACATTTAGCTTAGCTTGGTTTAATCTACTTTTCAATGTGTTATTAGGATGATGTGTTTTGCTTGGTCATTGCACTGGATTTATTTGGGAGACTCCCACTCAAGTCGAAGGCATGACCAATTAGCCGTGAATCCGCTGCCTTAACTTCATTGAGAATGATCTTTATATTATGTTGGGATTGATGGGGATTCGGGTTTGGGACTGAATCCATTATTCAGATACATATAGAATTATGGATTTGGATCAAATCCAAATCTCAAAAAATAAAGCTAACCTTAATTAGATTTACCATATGTTTGGATATTCTTAGAAGTATTTTTTAAAAACGTTTTTCTGCAAATTGAAACAAATTTTTTCACGTATTTACTTCGCATATTATAAAATTACTTCTAAAACTATAATTTGGTTTCTATTCAAATACTCTCAAAAATATTTTTCTTCTGTCTTATTTGGGCATATTCTATGAAGCCCTGTTAAAGAAAAAGGTAAAAGGCAACAAAACAAAAACTTCAAATTATGAATGAAAAAAAATTAAAATCCCTTTTCATTTTACGAAGTTGGATGGATTGTTGGTAAGATCAGGAAAAGTGGAAATTTGCATTTATATTACGACTTGAAACTTTAGCTTATGGCTACTGTGGGTTAGTGTTTGCTTGGAGCTATTTAAAGTTAAAACAAAATTGCTCTTATCTACTTATCTCATTTATTTTATTATAAATATATAGCTCCAGTGCTACTGCCAACGTAAAAAAATCTCGTAATGAAGTAATATGTAAAGCCTGTTTTACTCCGATGATTCTTTTGGAGCGATATCTGACTTTTTGTAAGATAACCCAAAAAAAAAAAAACCTAATGAGTCTACTTTGAGTTTTTAGGACTACTGAAAAATTGTAATGGTTAATTTGATTAATTACTAAATAAAAGTTGTTATCAAGTGATCAAACAATACCATCAATTAAACCAAAAAAAAAAAAACAGAGCAAGGAATAAGGAACAAGATTCTCACTTTTATAAATCAGGTTGGTTAGCATGACAGATTGGCAAACTTTTGACTTTTGCTCAGTGGACTTGCATTAGGATTTCAAGTTATGCCAAGAAGAACGGGCAAAGTGACAATCATGCATCTCAAAAAGAATCATCTTAATTTTTGCCTTCATCATTGATTCTTTAAAAAAAAAAAGTATGAGAATCATCATTAAAAAAACTTCTTCCCTCTTAGATTTATCATCATGATCGATCTCTATAATATCACGATGCAATCTCAAGGCTCCAAAAATATAATCTCCAATAAATTATAGATATTTTTAAATTTATGCAAAAGATTGTATATATTTTTCAAAAAACAGAAAATTCTTCTGAATTTTATGAAAAGTATATGAATTTTTATATTTTAAAATGCATTAAAACCATTTGAAAATAAAAATAACTTTGTGTAATTTACTCATTGTTTTAATAACCCCTTTTCCAAACATGGTTTAATAATTTTGCTGAGTAAGACTGTTGATGGAACATGAAATGTCTCCCAACACCTAATGATGGAAAATGACGAATCAATAATGATTGATCACCCAATATTTCCCCCAACAAATCACCCGATTTCTTTTTAAACCCTTTTTGTAATATCATCAGATTCTAATTATCCTAAATTAACATTTTTGTTGAATAATAAAACTTTTTAAAATTTTGACCAAAAAAATAAAAATAAAAAATTTTAAAAAATCAACTTGAATTGATGTAAGTGATAAAGGTTCCCCTTCCCCCCCCCCAAAAAAAAACAAGTCATTGAAAATTTAATTCCTAACTTTGTTGGGGGTTTATCTTTTACTCTTATTTAGTAGCTAAAAAAAAATCTTGTACTCTTTTTATCTTAAGAAAAATTAGTTTTTTCAACACTTATAGGTAACCAGGGAACTATATTAATTACTGTCGATATTGATTACCATACACTAGCTCTAGTCTTTAATATAATAGTTTATTTAACTTTTACTTGGGTCCTAAATATAAAACCCCAATATACTTTATCTATCATATTTATCTATTTTTTAAGGTAGTCCTTTTAATAATGTTAGTTTTAACCAATACACTTAATTAGCAAGGATATATTAGGAAATATAACATCTATTTATTACGAATAACTAACTTAACTGGTTTTCTTAATTTATCCAAATTAGTTAAAGAGCTTTTATATTAAGAATTAGAAATAGTATTTTTTCCCCTAAATTGGTTTGATTGTTATTGTAATTTTTTTAAAAAAGAAATTCAGCTGCTACCATAATTAAGAAATACGAGAGATCTTGGTCCTACAAGGTTAAAGACAATTTTAGTAATGATGAAAGATTAAATTAAATGGCCTAATTAACAAGATTTTAAAAACTGGATTGGATTTGCCGGTTTGATCGGTTGAACCAAAATTGGAAATTGGTTTAACTTGAAGAAGTGCAAGACCGGTCACACAGTCAATATTTTTTGGGTTAAAGTATACTTTTAGTCCTTTAATTTTACACAATGTTTTATTTTTTTGTCAAAGGACCAAATGCATACTTTAGCCTTGTTTTTTTTTTTTTTCATTTTTCTTAATGTTAAAAAATTTAAATCATATTTCTAAACTATAGTTTATGCACATATTCACCTTGTAAGCATTAAAAAAGAAAACTAGTGAAAAAATGCAGAAAAATATGTATATCTATCTATTATTAAACTATAACTTTTAAAATAATTATGTCCGTTATACAAGTATTACATATAATAATGATTTATTTTTATTTTTAAATTATAAGATATTCATTAATTTTCTTAAGTTACATATTTAAAAATCAATAATACTCTTTTTCTAAATTGAAGAGAGTATAACCTCTCATCTTCTCGCCTTCTAATTTTTATATATTAATAAAATATTTATTGATAAAAAACAAAGAATTATTTAAGCAATCCTATAAATTTAATTTTGTAAAATAGTATTTTATAAAACACTATAACTTTAATGTCATTTTTAACAGTAAAATTAAAAATATAGTATTAACTTAAACATGGTAAATCTGATCACAATTCAACCATTGACCCTTAAGTTATTGTTTTACCCAATTCGATAGCAATTTTTGAAACCTTAGTAATTAAGTATACGCTCAATAATACAATGCCCTAATGTGAATTGCGGAGCGTGGCGGTAACGTTGAGACTTCATATTATTTAATTTCGTTTGCTGTTGCTGGCCATTTTTGCTCTAGTAATGGTGTAGCATCCCAAGATAAGTTTCTTCTTGTCCTCTATATTTTTAATTTGATTTATAAATATGTTTATTATTTTTGTTATGAATAAAAATATATTCAAATGAAGCTACTTACTTTCTCCAATTAACTATATTGATCCATCTGTGAATGAAAATTCCTTATTTCAAATCTACAGTTAAATATACCCCCTCTAGCTGAAAATGTTTAAAATATAGGATAAACTTTATAAATTTATGTTATCAATAAATTAGTTAAAATTAGCTTAATGTTATGAAATTAACCAACAATGAAAGTAGATTGGAGAAGAGAAGTAGACAAGAAAATGAGATAATAATATTGTATTCCTTCACTTGCATTACAATACAATAGCATGCCTTATTTATAGGTATAGTTTTACACATAAGTTACATTTGTACTTAAATAATAGATAGTGAGCAATAAACCATATGAATATGAGTGGGGGGAATTACAAGATTAAAGGCATAGTGGAAAGGTAATGGAGTAGTGGAAGATTAATGCCTAGTGAAAGTAGTGGGAGTTGATGATAAAGTTGAGAGAAAGAGGAAGAAGAAGAAGAGGATATGGACATCCACATGTTATAATATTCATAACTAAAACAATAAATACATAAGACATTTTTTTTAATATATGCCCTTATTAATAAAAAAAAGAGAGTAAAAAACGCAATATATAAATTAATTAAAGAGAAAAGAGAATATATCTTAAGGTTAAAATTTAAAAAAACTCATTTTTTTTTGACCAGCAATTTAAAAAAACTCATTAAATGATTAGATAAAATTTACTTTTATCTTATAAAAAAAAAAACTAAGCAGTTCTAACAAAATTTAACTTATATTTTGATTGTGAGGGAGCAATAGCTAAAGAATTTTTTGGGAAAGATGAGTATGCGTTGGTAAGAGCTACGTAAGACTTGAGGAGTCCTTTTTTTCCTTCATACTTTTTGTTATGTTTGTAAAGCTAATTAGTTCATTTAGAACCATGCTTTGCGTTGTCCAAGAAAACAATTTAGAATCATGCTTGAATAGTTAGTTTAAAGTGACACCCTTGTGCACTAAAAAATTTAAAAATCTAAAGGAAAAATTGATCAAAAGCATTTGGCTAGAAAATTAATTGGACACTAGCATCTGAATTTTTTTTTAAGAACAATAGTACAACTTATTTTCAACTATGTGTAAGACAAAATATTTACACATAAATAAAATTATATTGTACTGAGTTATAAAGAGCTGTACGCTGAAAATGAATTATATCATTGAAAACCCTAGATCCTTAGATGTTTTTACACAGTTAATTTTCTTAACAGGAAGTTTTGACTAATTTTTTATAATGCAAATGTTGCAGATTTAAAAATTAATGGACTTTTTTTGAGCTGAAACCATAGTTTAGATTTAAAGATACTTACCGTGCATGTGGTAAGACTCAGATCCCAAAAAAAAAAGATTGAGACAAAATAAAGGAGAAAGAAGCTTAAAGTGTCGTGCATGTTCTGGCCTCTGCATGTCATTTAAAAATAATCTTACATTTCCTTTTGTCTGAAATATAAAAATTCAAATTTCATTTCAATAGGCTGAGGAATTTAAATAAGCTTTTTTTTTTTTTAAGAACGAAAATTCTCTAATAACAGCCAGCCAAGACAAAAGCCAAGGACAATGAGAGAGGCACGAAGCAAGGCCTTGGGGAAAATAGTTTTATTTTATTTTATTTTAAAATTTCTGACTGGTTCAGGCTTCTCAATTTTCTCGTGTCATCTCAGTCCATCGCAAGGCTTGAACCCCAGGCTCTTCCTCCTACGCTGCCACCGAGATCTCTGCTTCTTCTCTTCCCAGTGATTGATCTCTCTCCTATTGCTGAATTTATTTAGCGCTATACTCCCTGTTAGATCCTCTCTCGATATCTTATTTTCCCAAAATTTTGCGTTTACGAAACCCCAAATTCGCCGGAATTATTAAGTAATCATAATGAACGATCTCGACGGTCTCTTAGCTGCCGATTTCGGGTTCAAACCGCAGGGCAAAGCGGCCCCAATGGCTGCATCCAAAGGATCTTCGAATGCCCCCAATAGTAGAAGCCTCAACTTCGATTTGGGATCCCGCGGTGCATCCCGATCCACTGGTAGCTTTGATTCTTTCGGTGGTAATTTTATGGATGATGGTGATTCGCCGTTTAGATCGTCGGGTAATCAGAAGAATCAAGATACTGGTGGTTTCGATGATCTGTTGGGGGGCTCTGCGAGATACTCGAGCAAATCGGAGAGTCGCGGAGCTGATGCGTCGTTCAATTTAGATTCCATGTATCCTGGGTCCAGCGATTTTGGTTCCAAGTCTATGAACCCCCCTGTGTATGACAAACCTGTCTATGACGATGACATTTTCGTCGGCGTCCCGGGGTTAAAAAGCTCGTCTACAGCTAATTATGATGATGTTTTTGCATCGGTATCTTCGGCCCAGAAAGAAGTAGTAGCGCATTGGATGATCTTCTGGGTGGGTTCGGTCAGTCTAGGCATGATGAGAAGAGATCGGAGAAGGATGACAAAAATAATCAAGATTTTGACGGTTTGATTCCTGGATTTGATGGAAGTGGAATCCATAGTGAAAGGTACGGTAACAACTTTATTCTTCAGTTACTGAGATGAGATTCTATGTTCATTAGCATGTTGATATATCGGCCTGAAAATGTAAAATATTCGTGTTACCATGTGCTCGTCTGTCTGTCTATTGCCGTTAAAAGCGTACATTAAGCTGTATTTTAGATACATAATTCTACTTAGTGATCAAGTATGCCGTGATTTTGTTGCTTTTTAGCGTGTACCCATTCAGTCCAGTGTCTCAGAGAACCAAATGCCAAAAGATCGTCATTCTAATTTTCAGAGGCATACACAGAAAAAAAGAATAAAAAAAAACCAATTAATCCACTGGAATTGTTAAATTCTTCTGATGGAAGCTTTTACATGTGACAATTTCTTTCTATCCGATGATATGTTAATATTGTCAATTGTGCATAATAATAACAGATTTTCTTAATGCTTTTGATGAGATATTAATCCTTAAACACAGTTGGGGAAGGAAGTTTTTCTGTAGTAAACGTCTGTATCATGATTCAGTTTCAATTCATGTTTCCAACTGGATGGTTTGCAGTCCTTCCTGAAATGTTTGACGATCATGTATTACATTGAGATTACTTAATAGCAGCTTCTCCTCATGAAGGCTCTTAGAGCATTCTTCTATATTTATCCCCTTGAATATGAAAATCCACCGCTATGCATGCTGAACATGTTGAAAATTCTTTGTCTGCTAGTTATTACTGCAATTCGATGAGGAATTAGGATCCCTAAATTTGATTTATCAATGTCTCAAGGGATTTACAATTTTTTACTGATTATGTGTTTATTATGCCTGTCTGAAGTTTTAGTTGTTTGGATTTGTTACTTGAAGGTCGTTAAACTGGAATAGGCCCATGGGGCTGCTCTATGGGACCTTGTTTTGCTGACTATATGACCCTTTTCTGTGAAGTGTGAACATTCTGTTTGGGAGTGAGATATTTACTTGGGTGATTCTAGGAGCTCACTGTTTTAATCACGCAATTAATGTTGATATATTTTGAAGTTATATGTGTACATGCATATGGATTTTTACATTATATGTGGTCGAAATATAATGTCTGCACAACTTTGATCTTTGCCATGATCTATCCGGCAGATATTTGAATCAAAGAGCCCTAAATAACTTGGAATAAAGACATCACGATTCACCCTTGTATTTATGATTATGTGATTAACTGAAAGTAGTGCTGTAAGTGCAAGTTATTTGGATGCTTATGATGTTATTGCTTTGACGTTGCCAAGAGTGGACAGGATGATAGTAAAATACCATTAAAAGGAATGGCTTTGTTGGTGGCTTCTGAAATGAGAATATCATAATCTCTTTTCTTTCTTCAACATAATAAGGAACTCCTCATCTAGGAAAACTGGTTACATTTTTATTTGATATAAGTAATGTGATATAACTTATATCAAACACTCGAGAATATCTTTCTTCAATTTTGTTTACCATTAATAAGTGCAATGCCATGTATCAATTCGGACTGAAAAGGCTGAATTTATGCAGAAGTAAAACCTGCAGTGCCATGTTTAAGTTGAATAAATTGTTAAATACAGGTAACATTTATCGCTACCCCGTTTTGATGACTGGTTTGTTGTGGTTGTTATGGAATTTTGTATTTTAACATATTGATTGACATATCACCATAACTTTTATGCGTTGCCCTATTCACAGGCCTGCTCCTGATATTGGTTTCTCCTCAGAGCAAACTACCACGGAATCTAAAACAACCTCCAGTGTGACAGATGATCCTTTCAAAGTATTTGAATCAGCTTCAACCCCAATGGAGTCTGCAGGCCACTTTACTGATCCTTTGGAAGAAATTGGTAAATTTAGTAGTTCCAGAAGCACACAAAATGATAGTTCTTCAAATTCTAATGGCAGAGTATATGATGATATTGATCCCTTCGATGGGCTTGGAAAATCAGTACCTGCATTCTCATCAGAGAGAAATAACAGAAAGGATACCAGTCCTCCAAAGACTAATGCAAGCTCAGGTTGGGCTGGAGACAAAGAACCAGATGAGAAATCTTCTGTGAAGAGTCCTGAGAGACACTCACAAAACAAGTTTCCTGTTGGCCATGATTGGGGATTTCCACAGACACCCTTTGATGGGCCTACATATTCATCATCTGATTCTAGTAAACCAGTTGGCCAACGGGCTTCTTCCCCTTCATATGATAATGATGGTTTTAAAGAGGCCAATATTCAGACGGACACTTCTCCAGAATTTGAAGAAAATTTGGAATCATTTAATGATGTGTGGCTGACAGTATCTGAGATTCCTCTTTTTACACAACCAACGGCTGCTCCCCCACCTTCAAGACCTCCTCCTCCAAGACCTGTACAAGTTTCTAAATCAGGATCTGCCAATGCTAGAAGGAAAGCTAGTGAATTTTCATCTTTTCCTAGTTCCACTGGATTCTCCCAGGGTCCCAAGTCTTCTGCTGCAGCAAGAGTTTCCTCTACATCTCCGTTTGATGAACATGAGGATTTTGCTGCAGACGGGACTTATAATTATGATGATGAGCATGAAGGTGGTGTTCCTGATGAAGAATTAGAGATGAATTCAGCTGCTGCTGCTATGAAGGAGGCTATGGATAGGGCTGAAGCCAAATTCAGGCATGCAAAGGAAGTTAGGGAGAGAGAGAGTACCAAGGCTGCCAGAAGCAGAGAAGCTGGGCCATTTGAGAGAGATGAGAGAGCTGTGCAGGAAGAGAGAGAGAAACAGGAAAAGCTAGATCGTGAACGACAGCAAAGAGAGAGGGAGGAAAGAGAGAAAAGAAGACTTGAAAGGGAAAAGGAGGAGAAAGAAAGAGAGAAACAGCGACGTGAGAGGGAAAGAGAAATGGCAAGACAGGCTGTAGAAAGAGCTACAAGAGAAGCACGTGAAAGAGCAGCTGCTGAAGCTCGTCAAAGAGCTGAGAGGGCAGCTGTTGGAAAAGCTAATGCTGAAGCTCGAGAGCGAGCTGAAAGGGCTGCCGTTCAGAGAGCGCAAGCTGAGGCCCGTGAAAGAGCTGCTGCTGAGGCAAGGGAAAGGGCTGAAAGAGCTGCTGCAGAAGCAAGGGAAAGAGCTGAAGCAAAGGAGAGGGAAGCACGGGATAGAGCAGCTGCGAGGGCTGAAGCTGAATCACGAGCTAGAGCAGAACGTGCTGCTGTGGAAAGGGCTGCTGCTGAGGCAAGAGAAAGGGCTGCTGCTGAGGCACGAGAAAGGGCTGCAGCTGCTGCAAGGATGAATCAACAAAAGAATGAAAATGATCTTGAATCTTTCTTTGGCATGGGTACAAGAGCTAGCAGCGCTCCAAGGCCTCCTAGGGCTAGCTCTTCAGTGAGAACCTGTTTCTGTGAAACTTTATCTGATACTACTGCAAGTTTAGATATTAATATTTTGAACATGGACTTTTTCAGGATTCTTTATTTGATACCCAATTTCAGGCAGATACAAGGAAATCAACTGGGGCATCTACGAGCATGAAGAAAGCATCATCGTCAGTTAATATTGTTGATGACCTTTCCTCAATTTTTGGAGGTAGTTTTAACATTTTTATTGTGATGTTTATTGATGTGGCAGTGTTTTGAATTCTTGTGTCATGTCTTGATTACTTGGTTCTTATCGAACCCTCTCTTTCATGGGATACAGCTGCTCCATCATCAGGAGAGTTTCAAGATATTGAAGGGGAAAGTGAAGAAAGAAGAAGAGCCAGGTTGGAGCGCCACCAGAGGACTCAGGAGCGAGCAGTATGTGTTCCTTTAGTTTTTCTGTTAGATATCTTCATTTTTGTTTGAAAGAAAGGAGAGGTAAGGTAGACAGGGTCTTTTTTACATGTTTGTTGATGTAATGCCTGCTGTCCTTTTATGCTAGGCAAAAGCATTGGCTGAGAAGAATCAGCGAGACTTGCAAACACAAAGAGAGCAAGCTGAGAGACATGTAAGTAGTCCCTCGCAGGCCTTAGGATCTATTATATGAATGTGTACCTGTGTTATTTTCAAATTAGAAAATTATTTTCCGATACACTGCGTTTCTTTGCCCAATCAATCTACTATTTTTTTGGTTGAAAATCCACCATGTGTTTACCTGTATGTACTTAATGATAGTGCATATTCTATTTTAATGTTTATTATTCCGAGTCGTGTCAATGCTTCTTTCATCAGGTTTTGCAAGCTGGTGATAATATCAAGATTTTAGTTTTTTTTTTTTTTTTTGGTTGGTGAAAATTTTAGTTGTCCTTAATTTTACCATGAATTGATTGCAGAGGCTTGCTGAAACGTTGGATTTTGAAATTAAGCGGTGGGCTGCAGGAAAAGAGGGGAACTTGCGTGCTTTGCTCTCCACTTTACAATATGTATGTACTTAACATATGGATTTTTGATAGTTCAGTTCCCTCCGGTAGCAATTTCCAATCATATTGGTTGCTAAGAAACTATAGCAATTCTTGTTATTTCTCATTGATTATACCCTGCACATCTTAAGTAAGCTTGCATAAAGAGATCATTGTATTAATTGATTGGAGAAATAATAGAGAATGATTATTCTCCTTGATAGAAACGCCAATTCCTTTATAAGAGTTGAGGACCTGTATCTACACGTCAAAGGCTAAGGGAATTTACAATTGTGCCCCTAGAGCTAAGAGCAAAGTACAACTGTATTCTTAGAACTTATTCTATTTACAACAGAGTCTATAAATAAAATTCGACAAGGAACTTTTAACACCTTGTGATCATGTACTTGTTATTGACTGTAAATCCAGTGGAAACAAGACAACATTCTTGTTTTGAAAAGTTTTTTATTGCATCTGGAAAAGTTTCCTTGATTTTTGAAAGAAAAAAATGGTATCAGGTAATTGTGTTTTTAAAGTGGTATTGTAATTTTCAATTGGTTTTTATTTTACAAGTTGTGCGAACTTGCATTGACTTGTTTTCTACGTGAATGGTTAGGTGCTTTGGCCTGAATGTGGTTGGCA